AATTTCTCGCGGTCACACCGTTGTTTATTAGACTTGGAAGAAAGAGTCTACCTTGCACGCTTGCCTTAGGGAAAACAACCCATATCAATATCGTTGACCTGATCCCCTGGTGGTTGGTAGAGTCAAAAAAGTAGAAATTGCAACAAGTTTTCCGGCACTCATCAGCAGTCAAATTATTTATTGTTAATTAAATAAATATTTGTGCTTATGTGCCCAACAAAAAGTAATTAAATTTATGAGAAATTATTAATAAGGATAGTTTGGTAATTTTATCACTCAGAGAATAACAATTTAAAAATTTTTATTTTAGTGTTGGGAAAAATAAAATTATACGTTAAAAATATTTACATTTTTAAAATAGAAAATTTATCAATTGACACGGTGTAAATGTGAAAAATTGACAAAAATTTATACTATTAATTTGGTCAAAATTAATAGATAAAATTAATCATAGTTACATTCTAAAAACTAACTTACAGTTATTTTTTTAATTAATCTATAAATTAGTTATTAGAAATTATTAGAAAATAACTGTAATTAATCTCATCCGTTGATTTTGACTAAATCAATAGTATAAAATTTGGTGTAAATTTTTTACACTTAACCGGTATTAATTGATCCATTCTTTTTAAAATATCATTATTACAAGCATAAATATGTATAATTACATACGCGGACCTTAAAATAACTATATAAGTACATAATTATAATTATATCAATTTATAGTTATAACAATTATAAGAATAAAAATATTTTAAAAATATAAGTATATATATATATTTTTTTTTTTGGTAATGAAGGATAATAATCACATTACTAAGTCTAAAAGGCTCAGTAATGTAAGAGGTTTTAAACTCTCTCTCACACACACACACCTACCCAATCAATGTAGAATAGGCACAATCACAAGTTTTTTTGGTAATGAAGACAACTAATCACATTACTAAATCTCAAAATGTTCAGTAATGTAAGAGGTTTTGAATTCATACACAATCAGAAGTTTTTTTGGTAATGAAGAACAACTAATCACATTACTAAATCTCAAAAAACTCAGTAATGTAAAAAATTTTAACTCACACACCTACCACAACCAATGTGGGATAGGCACAATTACAAATTTTTTTGGTAATGAAGAACAACCAATCACATTACTACACCTCAAAAGACTCAGTAATATAAGAGATTTTGAACTCACACACACACACACCTACCCAACCGATGAAGCATAGACACAACCACAAGTTTTTTAGTAATGAAGGACAATCCATCACATTACTAAGCCTCAAAAAACTCAGTAATGTAAAAATTTTGAATTAATATATATGCACCTACCTAATCGATATGGGATAGGCAAAATCATAAATTTTTTTGATAATGAAGGATGACCAATTACATTACAAGTTTTAAAAGACTCAAATATAAGTATATTTAATTAATAAATTTTTTGATTGTAAATAAAAATATTTTATATTTTTATCATTTAAATTATTAATTTTATCAAATTCTCTGTCACGGTAATTTTTGCTAAATTTATCCGGGTAAAACTTTTTATATTTATGAAAAGTAGTTAAATTGTGAAATTACTTTATTGGACAATGCTACAGAATTTGAGGTAAGCCCGTACATTCCTGGCTGGCTCATCATAAACGCTGAGTGTGACAAGATTGAAAGTTTTTTGCATTGGGTTGGTTAGATGACCATTTAATATTAGGTGCTATTCTAAACATTATTTCATATTACCATTGGTTTGATGATCTACTTAATGTTAAGTGTTATTCTATTTGAATAATATTTGACAATCAATAAAATTATATTATATATTATTTTTAAAATAAATTTATTATATTTTTTATATTTTAAATTTAAAAATAAAATATAAAATAATTTAATTTTTTTTTTTTTTTTTTAATTAAACATAAAATAAAAATTAAAAATAAAGAATTTAAAAATAATACACATAGCATAATTTTATTGGTTGGCAGAATGCTGTTCTAGTAAAATAACACTTAATATTAAATAGACTTAGTTAGACGGTGCACTGATGACATTTATTAATTAGTGCTGTCAAAAATAAATTTTAATTAATACGAAAAATAAATATAATATTTAAAATTACATGTTTGTCCTTAGGTCTGGCTGAATATTACATTAGATGGAGTAAATTAGAACATTTAAAAGCTCGTAAAAAAGAAACCCAGCCAAACGCACCTTTAATCCAAGTCCCTTTTTGTGTTTAATTTGGGAGATTTATTAAGCCCATTTGTTGAAAATGCCAGGAGCAGCCTTGTCTGTTTGTTGAAATTTCCTCACCCAACTGTGTGGACATCCTCCTGCTTGATTGACTGAAGGGTTAAGGAAGCGATCGTACAATCAGAGTCAGGTATGAAGAGCTGGTCCAGCTCAAATTTTTTAAAGTGCACAACTACCCTCTGCCTACCACCTTGTATTTTGTTCATCCATCGAGTGACTACTGAGAATTTTCTCCCATCACCGCAAAAAGTACAAAAGTATATATTTACTTTTTAAAAATATAAACTTTACACATTTAATAAAAAAAAAAATATTAACTTTTAAAAAAATACATTATAAACACAAATAAAATCTGTTTGCTTGATTTGATAAGATATGATAAAATAAACTTATCCTATTTTATTATTTTTTTATATATGTTCAATAATTTTATAAATAATTCAGATAAAAAATTTAGATAATTATCTTTATTTATTTTTATCAATTGAATCATAATAAAATTAATAAATCTTGATAAGATGATAAAATTTACTTAGAATTATAAAAAAAATTTATTTTATTTAAATAGATAAAATTACTATATAAATAAAATAAAATTATATTATTGTACTTTATACTATCGAGAAAAGTTCTAAGAAATGATGAAAGACATTGCATTGATGACCGGCGGTGATTATGAGATCAAGCGGGACCCGCTATAAAGTTGTTATTTGTGTTTTAGTTAAGTGCATTTAATGCTGGGCTAAGTTTGAATATCTCAAGTTTTCGGTATATGATATTTATTAATTTAGATGGATCATCTCCCACTTTTAGCCTGTTATTATTAACTGATATAGTTAAAGTTACTTTTCTTTATTAATTTTTACTTTTTTATCTTTTTGTACCAAAAAAAACTAAGCTCAAATATGAAATTCTTCTTAAATATAAAATATGAACATATTTTTTATAACAAATGGGCATTAATGGTGGAAAAAGTTAGAATAAAGACCCAAGAAAAAGCAGTAAAAGTCTCATATGTGAAAATTGAGAATAACTTACTGCTATTATAATGAGGTCATTCTCCTAAGTAGTCTGTTTTTTATCCAACAATTGTTACGTCATTAATCTCTTCTCACATAATTTCATATATATCAGAAAGTTTAAAAAAAAAAACTAAATAACAGAGTGGCAATTTTATGGAATAATGTATTGGTTTAAGAAATTAATTTTAATTTTTGAAAAATAAGTCAAAAAATAAATAAGGAGAAACTTTTTTTTTTATTTTGAGAAAATATTTCCCTTCTTGTTAAAAAAACAAAAAATAAAAAAATAAAAAAGACCTTGCATTATGTGACTTGTAAATGGAACAAGCTTCAAATTAAATAGGAGGCGTGAGTGCGTGAGTTTTCCTGGGAAGAACAAACGTGCATTCGTGTATTTATTTACTCTATTTTTAAGGTGACTTGCGGAATTGGTAAAGATTTTGGAAGCATTTTTAGAAAACAAAAAAAAAAAAGAAAAAGAAAATATGATATTTCTAAAACACAAAAGCTAAACTGTCATCAAGGGTAATATTTATTATTCTACATCTGTCAACATGATAACATTACTCCTCCCAAGAAAAGGAAAGACAATAAAATGAAATTACTAAAAATAATAGAAGGCATAATAGAAAGAAATTACTACATTCGCATCTAATACCACTTCCAGGGGGGCTGTTTGGTTTCTTTCAAAAATCAGCTTTTTTTTTTTAAATCTTCACTTAATTGAATTATCTTTTATTTTTATTCAGATTATAGCTTTACAAATTATTTTTTAATTTTCTTTAATTGAGGAAAACAGCTCCCTCGAATAATATTTTGATCTTATTTAACCAATTTTCTCAAGTACATATTTAGAAATTAAAGATCCAGCTGTCCAATTAATTGATAGGACCACGTAGCCGACAAGAAGCACCACTCATATGTTGCCACGTCTACTCTTCTGCAAGTGGGCTTTACAAATCTTATTACTGGTTTGATTGGCTTAAAGTTATGCGCGCTTCCAAACATGCCAAATTCTTGGAATGTCCTCTTTGTAATTTTTCTATTGAAGTTTTTAAAAATTCTGTGTGTATCTAATGAGATAACTCCCAAGCCGAAGTGTTGTCCCTACCCCAAAATACTAAAGTCCCGTTTGCTTTCATTCAAAAAGCAATCTCTTTGAATTTTTCACGTTGTTTTAATTTCCATAAATGGTAAAGAATTGATTTAAATGAAACATAAAAAGTAATAATCTATTTTTTTATATGATTTCAGAAATATTATTTAACATGTATTGTGACAACAAACACGACGTGAAAAAAAGAATAAAAATATTAAAAATGTTTATTTTTGGTTTTTAATTCTAAAATTTAAGGAAAAAGCCTTAAATTAATTAAATAAAAGAATTTATAAATTAGACATCCACTTATGGAAAAAAAATTTGTCTAAAGGAAAGGTTTGAAATGGCCTATCAAATCCAAATTTTCCGTAATAGAAAACAAAATTCCCCTCGAAGAAAAACGAAAAATAAAAAGTAAAAAATGGTTGGCGGATACACGTATTTTCGGCCGAGCCCCTTAAACTTCGGGTATAATTGCCTCTCCCTGCCAGCCCATGCCTATAAAAAGGCGCCATTTCTGTTACAAAGCTATCGTTTCCCACGCACGGAAAGCAACCTAGGGGGAGAGAGGTAAACTTCTCTGCCAAATCCTCAGAGTTCGCCAGTGTTCCGTCACGGAGACGAAGACGATGATGGTGACCGATTTTCAATATCTTCTCGGAGGATTACTGGCTTCGTTGCTTGGCTTAGCTCTGCTCTACAAATCGAAGAGCACAAAGAAGAGGAGAGCTCCGATGGTGATTCAGAGACACCAGAGCTTCAAGACCTCCGTGAACGGCTCTCGCCGCCTGGAGACCGCCGGAAGTGCGGACGTCATTATTGTCGGTGCCGGCGTTGCTGGCTCCGCCCTCGCTCACACTCTTGGCAAGGTCGGTTTCTCTCCCCAAACAAACAAATACATACTGTATGGAAGCATATAACTTTGAACTTTTTTTTTTCACTATTTCCTTTTTCATGGATATTATGGATAATTTTCCTTTTCTTCTCTTTATTTTTTGGAAAATACTAAGTATTTTGGGTTTATATACTGTTACTAACGTGCGTCTACTGCAAATTTTTTGTTCATTTTTTTTAATACGTTTGATGGAGATATTTCATCTTCCTTAATTTGCTTATTTGGGATTATAAAAATAGACTTCCATCTCTGTCGCGAGTACTCCGATACTCCATTGATTCATCCCCCTGCGATAGCTGATGAATAATTCCTTTAAGTTTTTACCTAAGTGGATCTTTCATTTTTTTTTAAAGAAAATTTTCCTACTAAGTACTCATTTAGCTTCCCGGCACGAATCCGGTTTTTTGGGTTTCATAAAGAAAGAAAAATATAATGATAATGATGTTACTTTAAAAGTTCTTTTTTCTTACGGGAAAAGTTCCGAAAGATGAATACAGTAATTCTGGACTCTAGCTATTGTATTTGATTTTCTTCTATTTATGCCGATAACAGTTCCATGCTCAGGATTTATAAGCTAAAACAAAAGGAAAATATAATGGTAAAACAAGGAAATATCATGCAAGTAATACACGTATATTATATATTTTTAAACTTTGTTTGGGTTAAGAAAAACTTCAAAGATTTGATTTGTTTTGTTCAGTTAATTACCAAATAAAAAATAACACACAAATAATTAATTTTTTCCACTTCATTTTATTTTTCAATGTTATCAAAATATGGTTATCACACAGAATTTAAAATCTGCTTAATTGCCCATTTTAATATAAAAAATTTATAACTTTCTAATTTAGAAATTTAGAACGTTCAGTATCATGGTTTCTCGATTTTTCGAAGGAAAAAGCAAAAAGCATAAACTCCAAACAAAATTAGTCCTCGACTAGATTCTTCCACTAGAGTCTTGTTTGGCTACAACGGGAAGTTGTGGTCAAAAAATTGCTCCGCTCTAACAAAAATAATAATTAGATTCCTTCCACTGGATCTCCTTCCTTTTTTTTTTTTTTTTTATGCCTCATTACGAGGACTGCTAGCTTCCAACTCTGGTTGTCTTTACGAACAAATCAGGTGTACGTGTTGATGACAAATTAGATACATGCAAGTACGTGACACAAGATCTAGGCAAAACAACAAAACAGAGGCTTTGTTTTGTTCCAAAGTGTTTGATGTGTTGTTCCTTCAGTGCGATCATCAGCTAATTTGTTGTCATCTTCATCTGCATCTGCAGGATGGGCGCAGAGTTCATGTAATCGAGAGAGACTTGAGTGAGCCAGATAGAATTGTCGGCGAGCTCCTCCAACCCGGAGGCTACTTGAAGTTGATCGAGTTGGGTCTTGAGGGTAAGCGGGCAACAAAGGATGATTTCTTCTAACATTAAAAAAGAAAAAAACAGAGCTTTTTAGATGTACTTTTGAAAAGTTACAAAGAATTTTTTTCGGTAAATGTCCCATCTGTCCAAATACAAAAAACTAATCGTATTGAATTTTTGCAAAAGCAGGGTTTTTAAACCCTTTAATTTCTAAAACGGATCTTATAGTTATCGGAATTATTATCTATTATCTATTTTTTATGTTTAAAATTTTCAAAAATTTTCTTGCTTATTTTCATAGGAAATATTTTTTTATTCCAAAAAATAGTTTTTGATTTATTCATGCTTAAAATAAAAGGCAATCCTTGAAAATAATATTGAAAGGTGGTAAGATTATCCTCTCTACCTTGATTAATAAAAATTGAAAATTTTATGGATGAGATAGAACGAGAGAAACTCTCTTGCACTTGTCAATTACTGGATAAGATATTGACATCTCTTATCAATAAAAATAATTTTAATTTTTATCGTATCTGGTGGATCATTCAATTATGGGAGCTCTTTCATTGCGATTAGGCGTTAGTTGTGAGTTTGTGTATGTCTTTGCAGATTGCCTCAACGAGATTGATGCTCAGAGAATATTTGGATATGCCCTTTACAAAGATGGCAAAGATACAAAACTTCCCTATCCCTTGGAGAAATTTCACTCTGATGTGGCCGGAAGAAGCTTCCACAACGGCCGATTCATTCAGAGGATGAGGGAGAAAGCTGCCACTCTTCCCAAGTATTACCGTCTCCATCCCTCATCTGGATTTATTTTTTTCTTATGGGCAAAAATATTTAAATTTTATTGACTCTTGGGTTTATTATTCATCTATTACATTGGTATTTATGCTCAACCAAAAATAGTTTTTTGTCCAAATCACAATAATGATTTCTCTAATAGGTGTCTACACTTGCTTGGAACAATAATCAATTGGTTCATTTGGCAAACTTGTGGTACGAAGTCATTTGGATATTTAATACTTAACCAATTGGAGTTTGGCCAAGCTCTTATTGTACAAAGTCCTTTCACATATGAGATTTTGAAAATGAAATATCATATTTAGTGGAAAAAGTACCAAAAAAAGCTTCCAAAGTTATTTTAATTAAATGTTTAGTTGCAAAACTTTAAAAGGGCTACGATATTTTCTTAACATTGTTACATATCATAGCAGGGCATAACGTGCAACTTGTATAAAAAAAGAAAAATAGATATAATGGGAAGTACTAAAATTTCCTTAAAAAAGAGGCAAAATCTCGTAATAAGTATATTTCAAAAGAAAATCAGAAGCTATTCTCCAAGTACTGCCAAACACCCTTTAATGATTAGAGCAATGTGTGATTAATTGTGTGATTACTATTTTAATCCTTACCAATCTGCCTTCTCCAATTTGACAGTGTGAGACTTGAACAAGGAACAGTGACATCTCTGCTTGAGGAGAAGGGACAATCAAAGGAGTTCAATACAAGAGCAAGAATGGTGAGGAGTTAACAGCATATGCTCCCCTAACAATTGTATGTGATGGCTGTTTTTCGAACCTCCGACGGTCTCTCTGCAATCCCAAGGTAAAGATGGTTTCTCATAAAATCTCATGCATTAAGCTGTCCCCTTTTTCTTCCTCATCATCAAACAAACTCCTATTCTATTACTTGCTCCCCTTGGAGCTCAGAAAAGTAGGCTTGTCTTAAGTGCTACTTGAATTTTAAATTCAATGTAATACTTGAATGCACTTGCAGGTAGATGTGCCTTCTTGCTTTGTTGGCTTGGTCCTGGAAAACTGTCAGCTACCACACACAAACCACGGACATGTTGTCCTGGCGGACCCTTCTCCTATCTTGTTCTATCCAATCAGCAGCACCGAGATTCGCTGCCTTGTTGATGTCCCTGGGCAGAAGGTCCCTTCTGTTTCCAATGGTGATATGGCACACTACTTGAAGACAGTGGTGGCTCCTCAGGTACCCAGAACCAATTCAACTTGAATTGCCTCTCATTTTCACTTCAATGTTCTAGCATTAAATTGTTTCTGAACAATAGATTTGTGTTTGCATTAGATCCCCCCTGAATTGTACAATGGATTCATAGCAGCAATTGACAAGGGAAACATCAGGACAATGCCAAACAGAAGCATGCCAGCTGCCCCTTATCCCACTCCTGGCGCACTTCTGCTTGGAGATGCCTTCAACATGCGCCATCCATTGACTGGAGGAGGCATGACCGTGGCTCTATCAGATATTGTTGTCCTAAGAGATCTTCTCAGGCCCCTGCATGATCTCCATGATGCCTCTGCCTTGTGCAACTACCTTGAGTCCTTTTATACCCTGCGTAAGGTGAGGGCAAATTATCATCTCTTTTGCTCCTTTTAGAAATGCTTATAAGTAGCTTTTACTAATTGGTGGGAAAAGATCCATGGATATTTGAATTTGTGGCCATTGGACATTTTCCCTTCTAACAAGTAGGTATTCACGGTCCACTTGGATATGCCATTACCAATATGTTAAGTTTTTTTTGCTTTGCTAGAAAGTGCCTGTTTAGATTTATTTTTGAAAACAAAGAAACCCATGCAGCAGGTGTTTACAAAAACTGTTTTTGGGATAATTTTCAGAAACAGACCCATATTCCGAACACAACAAAAAGTTTTTTTTCAAAATTTTCAAACTCATTTTCACTTGAAAATGAAAACAATAGAGTTTTCAAGATTTTCAGCGTTGTCCATTTCCAAGAGCATAAAAAAGAAAACTGAGATCCAAAAACAAAAATTAGAGTAAAAATCCACGCAGACTAAAGATTAAGACCATAGCTCTATTCATATTTGAAGCTATCATACTTAAATTGGTACTGAAGTTGTTATCTTCTATGTTGTTACCAGCCGGTGGCATCCACAATAAACACATTGGCTGGAGCTCTGTACAAGGTCTTTTGTGCTTCACCAGACAAGGCAAGACAGGAGATGCGTAGAGCATGCTTTGATTATCTGAGCCTTGGCGGTATTTTCTCAAACGGGCCTGTTTCTTTGCTGTCTGGCCTAAATCCTCGCCCATTGGTCCTGGTTCTCCATTTCTTTGCTGTGGCTATCTATGGTGTTGGTCGTTTGATGCTTCCATTTCCTTCACCAAAGAGAATGTGGCTAGGAGCAAGATTGATCTCGGTATGTATACATCCATCTTTCTGCCTCAACTAACATGATCCTTTGTTCCATATTCTTATTCTTCCAAAACTTTCTGACTCTTGTGTTACAATCTAAATGCAGGGTGCATCTGGCATAATTTTCCCTATTATAATGTCTGAAGGAGTCAGGCAGATGTTTTTCCCTGCAATGGTCCCAGCATATTATAGAGACCCACCTAATTACAGAGATTTTTCATAATGGAGAAATAATGGAGAAAGCTGTATGATAAAGTAATGACCTTCCATGTCAAAGGACTTGAGGAGTCGTTTAGCAATCTTTAGGACAAAGAGAGTGTCAGTACTAGAAAATTTTGTGCTTCAGAATAATCTTTGTTGGACTGTGAATAAATTTCATCTTAGAATTTGAACTATTAAAGGAAATGTAAATAAGGCTGTTCAGTAATGTACTATCTTCGTGCATGCTGTACTTGCAATATCATTTATTTCTTTCTTGAGAAGGTAAAGTAATAGCGTGTAGGCCCTCTTCAAATGTAAAAAGGTCATGATATGGAGTCGGGATTGGACAGCTTCCTTGATGCCAAATGGAATACAAAATAACTGGTTTGAAGTCATCCATGGCTAAGTTTATTCAATGTACGTCTCTAGGATACAATGATAAGGTCCTTTCAAATTGCAAACATAACCATCTAGCTCTATCTGCATAGCATGGAAGATGGAATATTGAACTTCCTTTTATGTTGTAGAATGGAACATAATTTATTTGAGCCCAAAGTTCTGAGAGATTTTGGTCAATTAACCTGTTATATCCTTGAATGGAATCAGAAATCAATATCAAGATTCAACATTTGTCACTGCTATCTTCTTCGTTGCCAGTTTTAAGTTGTGAAGAACATAGTTTCACAGTTTTTCAGGCGTGTGGCTGTTAGGATTAGTTACTTTCATGTATAATTATCACATATGTGTGTTATCTATCATGTGCATGTTTCAAAATTTACGTACTTGTTGCATAACACACGTTCTCTGGATGGCTCAGGTTTTTGTATAGTAGGATCAATTTGATTCTTCCACACATCATTGATGTCACAGAAACAGCCGATGCCTCGTGGTCAAATACATATTTCTGCACTAGAGAGTTACAATTCAAGTAATCAATGGGCTTCCCTTCTGAGACACGAGTAGTTTTTACGTGTCAACTTCACAGAAGCCAGGAGAACTGTGAGAGGTCAAATTGAAGTAAGCAATGAAATATCATTGGGGAAAAAAACTTGTGCATCTCTGAATTCTGAAATGCAGCAGAACTGAGTTCATGCTTCAACCACATCTCACATTTGCATGGTATAACTTGTAATCAGTATTATATTTATAATTGTGACCAAGTCTTAGTTTATGTTTTTTAATAACTAGTGAAATTAAAATTTAACGTGACTTATAAATTACATGGTGAAATGACAGACCAATTGCAATTGTAAGAGTAAAATTCATTTAATTCCTAGATTCATCCAACAACTCCACACCTTTGGCAAGTAAACTGAATATAATGTTTTGCTAGTTACAAATGGGAAGGACAACCAGCTGCCTAGGCTCAAAACACGAAGTTAACATTCTCACATCCTTGGTGATACATAAAGAAAAAGGAAAAGAAAAAGAACAAAAAAAAATCATAACAAAGACACAAAATTAAAATATAAATTAACATTCTCACATCCTTGGTGATACATAAAGAAAAAGGAAAAGAAAAAGAAAAAAAAATAATCATAACAAAGACACAAAATTAAAATATAAATTGAAAAGTGTAAAAAACACTCCCCTCCTTTCAGGTTCATTTGAATAACACTTAACCCCATTCTAATCATGAAAAAATGCTTCTCCCTTTGACTAACTATTATCTAACAATTTTGTTAAAAAAGATGTGAAAGTAACTCAATTTCACACATTTTAGTTATCAATATGATTAAAAATTAAAATATTATTTGATTCATTTATTTTTTAAAAAATTTCTTGTTTTTAATTTTTTTTAAAAAATCTAATTTTTGATAGCTTAGTTTTATTATTTTTGATTTTAAATAAATTTATTTTATTATTTTTTTATTTTTATTTTAAATATTAAAATAAGAATGATTGAGTGCTATTTAAGTTGAAAAAAGAACTAAGTGTCATTTAAACTTTAAACAAAGTTAAATAGGATTAAAATATCGTAAAATAAAAATTTAAAAGAATAGTAAAATTATGTTATCAAAAGGTTAAATTGTTTTATTTTTTTTAACTTTTAATTTAAAAAATTTAAAATTAAAATTTAAATTTTTTAAATAAAATAAATAATAGTTTAATTTTTAATCAAATCGAAAGTCCAAACATGTAAAATTGGGTTATACTTATCTCTTTTTAAATAAAATTATTAAGCAATCATTAATCAACGATTAGTCAAAAGAGGAAAATGTTTTTTCATGATAAGAATGAGACGGAGTGTCATTTCAATAAATCTGGAAGAATTAGTCAAAAGAGTGAAAGTGTTTTTTTATGATAAGAATGAGACGGAGTGTCATTTAAGTAAATCTGGAGGAAAGAAAATGTTTTTTACCTAACCGAAAATTTTATATATGATCAATATCAATTAATTGTTATCTATCACTAACACACACCATTTGTCTATACATGCTGCAAAACAAGTAAGGCATACTTCTGCAGATTTTTCAAATACTAACCTACTTTTCTTTTTTGTGGGCACTTGACTTGATAAATAGACATAAAACAAGTAATGAGCGAGCCTATTAACTTAATGTTCTCCTTTCTGATCTATACTGAGAGAATAAGAAACCACATAGAATATTACTTACTAAGCAGAAAAACTCAAGATGCTTATTACCAGATCATTTGTAGATGGATTCTACGGTCAAATTGTAGCCTTAATATTTCTTTCACACTGGAGAACGCTACCTTAAAATGCAAAGCACAGAGGACTAATTTGATTGTGTTTCAAGAGATAACATATTTATCAGAAGAATAACTGTTGGCTAAATTTTGAAAGCACAAAGGAGACATATAGAAATTGGATGTTACAAAAGAGTGCTGATGCAACAACAATAAATGGGTGTTTGGATAAACCAAAATGGGGTTAGTTGAACTAGAATTAGCTAATTTGCTCATAACTCCTAAATAAATTTATTGAACAAGATACATGACATTAAACAAAGAATTGAGCATTTCACTTATCTCTTGTGACCGTGCATGGGAAAGATCAGCAGCTAGGAACTCTTCCACAATTCCATTCACCTCTATCACACTACAACCAGGTTTCTTCTTCATTCCCACGTCAGTGATAATCTTCTGACTCTCCTTGCCTCCATTTCCCAGCCAGCATCTTTATAGATATTGTACGAGAGCACATGCATTCCAGTGTCAGTAACTCCCATACTAGCCAACTTTTTCCAAACTCTGTTTCCAATTTCAACATTCCTATATATTCTACAAGCGCTCAATAGAGCTCCCCAGATATTAGCATCCCTTGCTCTATACCACCCATTTCTTCCTCTATAAACTTCTCAGCTTCCTTCAACATACCAGCTCTAGCCAAGAGGTCAACCACACATGCACAATGTTCAAGTTTGGGTTTTACCCCATACAAACTGTCCATTTCTCTAAACAAGTTAAGACCTTCATCAACCAACCTAGAATGCGTGCAAGCAGTGAGAAGAGCAATAAATGTAGTTTCTGTGGGTTGAATTCCATCTGATACCATTTTACTGAATAGTGTGAGGAGTTTTCTAGCATCTCCACTCAAAGACAGCCCTGAAATTACTGCATTCCATGCTCCAGCATCCTTGTTGGGAATATCTTGAAAAACTAATAATGCCAAATCAATGCATCCACATTTTGAATACATGTCAACCAACGCAGTAGCCAGTATTGGATTGGACTCAAGATTGTATCGCTTGGCATAGGAGTGGATCCATAACCCTTGTGCAAGCGCACCAAGATGAGCACAAGCAGTCAGAACGCTCACCAATATCGACGCATTTGGTTGCACACCCAATTCCTGCATTCTGGTAAATAGGAGGAGCACCTCCCTGAAGTTGTCCACACGTGAGTAAGCAGCCATCATCGCACTCCAAGTGATCACATTTCTTTCTGGCATTACTTCAAACAATGCTCTAGCATTTTCAACATTTCCCATCTTCCCATACCCATCAATCATCGAGGTCCATAAGACAACATCTCTTTCAGGGATATTATCAAACATAATCCGTGCAGTCTCCATTTCAAAATTTATTGAATAAAATTCAATAAGGGCACTAGCTACAAAAGGATCATCTGACAATCCATTTTTAACAACATGCCCATGTACAATACATCCAATTCGCTTTGAGTAATCAGGCAGAAGACCCGAACAACCTTTGATCAACGGCGGAAAAGTGTAGTTATTGGCCTGGACACCACAATTAATCATATCAAGATAGCAGAGAATGGCGGGTACTGGTAAATGAGCCTGAACATACCCTCTGATCATGGTGTTGTAGACGAAAGTGTTACGGCACAAGAGATTTTGAAAAATTGAGCAGGCGTAAGAGAAGAGTACAGTGTCTTTGGAGGTGGCGGCGACCGCAAAAAGAGGTCCGATAGAAGCTGGGTTTTCGAGTAGGCGGGTCTTGAGGAGGTGGGCATGGATTTGCTTCAGGTGGTTCAGAGTTCTGCATTTATGGGAGAGAGATATGAGGCTGATGTTCTGCATAAACGGTTTTCTGAATCATCTAAGAACGTGGAGATGGAGGAACATCTCTGGTGTATCTACCCCCGCAATAAATGAGCTTTAAGGCTTTAAAACGGTAAATGCTGACTCGTTCGTTTTTTCAAGGTCTGTTCATGGGGTTGTCATTTGGTCGATCTTTCTCCCACTGTTCAATTAACCAGCGAGTGTTAACAACATGTTTGATGCAGGGAATGGGAAATTGGATAAATTATAATAAGGGCCCAAAAAGAAAAGTTAATCCAAATGACCCCATTTTGCCCCCGTAAACTAAAAAAATTATCACCAATTGTTAATTAGGCTTTGGTTCTATTCCAAAAAAAGCCATGAAAATCTTTTATTTTCTTGCTACCCTTCAAGAATTGATTTGTCACCATTGCTAGTCTAGTAGGCACTCTTTCCCGTGAGAAGTTCAAGAAGTCACGCCAGAGCCATATATATCAGACTTGTCACTGAGCAAGCGTCCTTCAGCTTGCTCAGGGTCCATATGTCCGAATGGCCCCGTATGCCTCACCATTTAAAGCCACTACCGTTTCTCCAGGAGGCAATGGTATTGAGAATGAGAAATCAGAGTGCCTAGCAATGCCGTCTTGTTCTTACATGAAAGTAAATGGACTTGAGCAAGCATAGAAAATGGGGATGGAGAACGAGAGCATGCCGACAATTGCCTTTGCTATTTCATTTGTAATCTTCAGCCTGCTCTCCCAATTCGATGAAGGAGATGCCTCACAGAGCAATTGAAAACTCCTGGGATACTCACACGAAAGCTGGCAATGCAAAGTCAAGGCAGCACCGCAGCCAAAAATCTTCAGTGAAACTGGGCCTGACCCTGTCATAGGGACAATCTGCTTTGTCATATGAGCACTTCTTAGCAAAATGGTTGTTCCTCAAAGGAGCCCTTGTACATTTGATAGTTGTCTTGTCAGCTGAAAATCCTTCTGTTGCCAGAGAAAGCTCTTCAACAGAGAATTCTTGCATGGGGATGCTGTGTATGCCGGTGGAAAGAGCTAATCGTTCCTCGGTTACTAGACCTCCATATTCCAAAAATGGGTCGGAAGAATTCTCATTATCAATCTCGTTAAAGGTGGATAATGATACTCTTCCCCACAGCATCAAAGTCAATTTCTCTACTTGCTTGAATCTAGTCTGCCTGGGTCTATTAGGACAGAACCAAGAAAAGCTGTCAAATTGTTTGGATTTCTGCTCTATTTTATGTTTTTAGCCTTCATTTTTTGTGCTTTAAATGCTGAAAATCTTGAATATTTTGTTTTCATATCATTTCATTTTTCTAGAGAACATAGTTTCAAAGAATTTTGAAGACAAACTCTTGCTATTATTCTCTAAAAAGGGGTCTGTTTTATGGAATTCTCCTTAAAACAGTTCTTGGAAACAACAAGCCAAATGAGTTTTTGGGTTTTCGAAAACATATCTTCACTGCAAAAATGAAAATTATATGAGACCAGAAAGAAATTAAAGTGTACCTGTTGTGTGCTGCCATCTGAGCCAAGCTAGAATCTTGGGGAAATGAAACTCTATATGAAACTGTCAAGTAGTTAAGAACCTTGATACGCGCCTCTGTCCTTTAAAATTTCCGGTGAGTTTGTGTAGCCCATTTCCACTTCTCTTCCTATGAAAATTCTTTCCTCCTTCCACATTTTACATTTTTCCCCCGTGCCTGCAAATGCTCCTGTTTTTGGCCAACCTTCTACCCATCTTCACACCGTGTAGACCAAGAAGCTCTTGTCGTTTCCCTGTGAACTCAAGAGCTCAAAAATAAGAAAGAACCCAACTTGAATAAATGAAGACAGAAATTCCCTTTTTGATTAATTTAACATCCCAATCGTAGTTTGATCCATTTCTCTAACCTGATGGAAACAACTAATATTCGAAAGTCAGAATCAATTAATAGAAGATCATCAGAATCAGAACATCAGCAGCATTCGTGGCTCCTCATTTGGAGGATTACTTTTGCTACTATCAGAGGCAAAATTGATTTTCTGCAGAGAAATGATTCATGTAGAGTGAAGATATTCAGCCATGCAATTAGAGTCATGGAAATTTAAATTGTTTCATAGAAATGGTGCATTTGAAGAGATGAATGAATGCCTTCAATTTTGGGTGAACTTGGTATTTAACAACTCAACCATGGTGGCGGCATGCAAGCCTTCACCCATGGCGGCGGCATGGTGGATGATGGTTGCGGTCTTGCATAAAGTGGGTGAGTTCTTGGCAAACAAAAAGAAAAATAGTAACGATTGGCAGTGAAAAATGTTAATTGTGACAAGTGACAGCCCTGGCTTGGTGTTATTATGGGTGTTTGTAGCAGGGATAAGGAAAAAATAAATTTGTAAGTGCAAAATTGTACTCCAAAACCTAAAAATTTTCTATTAAAACATTATTAGCTGTATATATAAAGCAAAAATTACTTCCCCACCTCTACAACTAAGGCAGTGGAGGTTAAATTTTCCAAATATTTATATGGATTTAGTTAAAAATATATTTCATGAAATATCTTGTTATCTTATTATTTTGTAAAAAGTAAGTTAATGAATAAATAACATGATATCAAGTTAATATATTTGACTCATATTGATACAGTATTATTTATTTATTTATTTTAGTTGCATATTTTATTTATTGTTAGTCACAACATTTTGGAAAAAAGATTAATTTTAAACGATAAAATAAAAGAAAATACCTGTAAAAATTTTAAAAAAAATACTTGAACGATGCTAATTTGGAAGCAAACGTACTCCGTCCGGGACCCTTTACCCGATCCGTTAAACTTCACCCGTTCGGGGCTGAACCGCTCAGCGGTCCGAACCGCCTGATTATCTCGTCAGCCATTACTCGCTCCGCTTATTAATGGCCTATCGCAGCTGAGCTAGGGCTCGGAAGTGCATGCCTCTGGACTTTCGATTCTTCGACGGCGATTACAACTCCTTTTCCAGATGTCTGTTGTTGAGATTCAAAAGTTTGTGAATTGACTTGTTTGACGATTACTTCCCTTCTCCACAGGTATCTCTCTCTGTATATGCATTCGTATGTCTACGTATACGTTGTTGTCTGGTATGTTTGCATTTGATTTGAACGTATAATATAGTGTTGGATCCTCTGTTTCCTGTCAACGTTCTATCTTGGCAGTGTGTTCTTTTGTCCCTCTATTATTATACTTTTTAGTTAGGAATAAGTTTCTTAAGTTTTTTTTCTTGCCTGTATCTGCTTTAACTAAAAAGATTCATGAACAACGAACGCTAGTAGAGAAGCCAGTGGAATTTTGTCATGCGCTAAGTTTCAAGAAGGAAAGGGGAAATCTCTGTTATTTTTGTAGTTTATAACGTTTTTATTTAATCTGTTTAACGAATTACGAGACGAGTATGAGGTAACCGTTAACTTGTGTCCTGCTTCAGCCTTAATCATCTTTGCTCTAGATTAAAATATAGCAAGAAACTGACACCGAACTCGCAATGCTGGACTAGGTGAAGAAAAATTTGGAGCCAATGATATGCGAAATGAATTAAAATTATAGCTTTTATGATGGTGCATAATTATAATTTGCAGTATCTTTTTTTTTTCAAGAATTATTTGATCTTGGTAGATAGCAAACTATTAAAGTTTTTAGTTTACTTAAGTAACTATCTACTTCGAGGACAATTTTGCCTGGAAAATGATTTGTGCAGTTATGGGCTATTTGCAATAGTATGGATATTCAGACAGCGAACAGAAGTTATTTCTATCTATTTGATTTTTTTTTTCTTTTATGTTTTTTAGTCCAATTAAATTATTTAATGTGGTAAAGTGGTTCTTTTCATCAAGAGTCAACATACAAAAGGATTTTACATTGTGCAAAAATGTCTAGCTTAGTGGTGAAGGCATTTTGCAGAGGTAATTCTGAATATTATGTTCAATTTATGCTATTGATATCTATGTTACATAAATGAAATTGTAAATTGCTTATTCAAAATGGAATGAGTTTGTGCACTTCTTTTGTTAGTTCTAGTTTATTTGATCCTCTGTTTGTGCAAGTAAGAGATACACTAGCACTTAATGGCTGAGCTGTCCTGTGGGGAGTGTTGAAAGTGGAACACAACCAAACACTGATAGCTTTTATTTATTTATTTTTAAATGGAAACAGTTAATAATTAAGATTGTCACAAGCTAAATGTAAATTGGACATGTGATCATGTGATAGGCAGACTATCTGCTGCCTTCTTAACCAGTGAGTTGAAATGATCTCAAAGGTAATGGATAAATATTTTGGGAAAACCTCCAACAGTGATACTTTTGGATGCATGTTGACATTTGTGTCTGGTCTATGTGATGATAGGCGATTCCTATTTCAATTGGATTTTAGTAATTTTTGTTGTTGCATCTTGACTAAGGCTTTGATATAGATATGTAGGACCTATAATTTACTTGTCATTGCTTATTGGCACAAGCTGTTGTCTTCATGGTGGTCAGGTTAGTTACCTTGTTGATGATGAGATTTTGTAGGTTACTTTAAGATATCTACTTTTGCTATCCTTGGATGTACATTATACTTCCGTTTTGATTATTCAATTGCTTTTAAGTTGTCTCTTCTTCCCAACTCTGATAGGTGGCTCTTTAAAGTACATTTGATCTTCTGGGTTTCAAAAGTTGAACTGCCAAGCGGCTTCTGGAAGGAGGCAGTTTTAACTGATGTGTTAGTTCATGGAGGATCACAGTTTTGTTGTTGGTCAGGAGTTCCCAGATGTCAAGGCTTTCGGAATGCAATTAAAGAAGAAGCAATTGCACAACACTTTGAGCTTCGTATTATAAAAAGTGATTTGATTCGTTACTTTGCAAAATGTGCTTCAGAAGGTTGTCCATGGCGCATCCGTGCTGTTAAACTTCCTAATGCCCCAACCTTCACAATTCGAAGCATTGATGCCACACATACTTGTGGGAAAAATGCCCAAAATGGGCATCATCAGGCTTCTGTTGACTGGATAGTGAATTTTATAGAGGAAAGGCTTCGAGATAACATAAACTATAAACCAAAAGATATTTTGCATGACATTCACAAACAATATGGAATTACAATACCATATAAGCAAGCTTGGCGTGCAAAGGAGCGAGGACTTGCAGCTATTTATGGCTCTTCTGAAGAAGGTTACTGCCTCCTCCCTTCATACTGTGAGCAAATCAAGGTCAGCAACCCAGGAAGCATTGCAGAGGTTTTCACTGCTGGTTCAGATAACCGGTTTCAACGGCTTTTTGTGTCTTTTTATGCATCTATATATGGTTTCCTAAATGGTTGTTTGCCTATAGTTTGTCTTGGTGGAATCCAACTTAAAAGCAAATACCTCGGCACCTTACTTTCAGCCACTTCTTTTGATGCTGATGGTGGGTTGTTTCCCCTTGCATTTGGTGTCGTTGATGTGGAAAATGATGAGAACTGGATGTGGTTTTTGTCAGAGTTACAAAAAGCTTTAGAGGCAAATGCAGATAAGATCCCTCAGTTTACTTTTTTATCAGATGGGCAAAAGGGTGTTGTAGAAGCTGTAAAAAGGAAATTCCCTAGTTCTTCTCATGCATTCTGCATGCTGTACTTGAGCGAAAGCATTGGAAAAGAGTTCAAAAATTCAAGGCTTATCAGTCTTATATGGAAAGCTGCTTGTTCCGCCACTGTTATCGGTTTCAAAGAGAGACTGGCGGAGATAGAGGAGGTTTCTTCTGAGGCTGCAAAGTGGCTTCAACAGTTTCCCCCTTCCCGCTGGGCATTGGTATACTTTGAAGGCACTCGGTATGGTCATCTATCCTCAAATATTGAGGAGTTCAACCGATGGATTCTGGAAGCACGAGAACTGCCCATAATTCAGGTAATTGAGCGGATTCACGGTAAACTGGTGGCTGAGTTCGCAGATCGGCGTGCAAAGAGTAGTTCATGGTTTTCTGTACTTACACCTAGTGCTGAGAAGCGTGTAGCAGAAGCAATCAATTGTGCTTCCACATATCAAGTCCTTCGGTCAGATGAGGTAGAATTTGAGGTTCTGTCAGCAGAACGATCAGACATTGTAAATATTGGGACCCACTCTTGTTCTTGCCGTGATTGGCAGCTCTATGGAATACCATGCTCACATGCTGCCGCAGCGCTCATCTCATCCAGAAAAGATGTATATGCCTTCACGGAGAAGTGTTTTACTGTGGCTAGCTATAATGAGACATACTCGGAAGATATACACCTCATCCCGAGTAAAATACAATGGAAGAAAGAAGAAGAAGAAGAAGAAGACGAGGATGTGCGAGTTGTGCGGCCTCCTAAAATCCGTAGACCACCTGGACGTCCTGAAAAAAAACGAATCTGTGTGGAGGATCTCAATCGGGAGAAACACACTGTGCATTGTAGCCGGTGTAACCAAACAGGACACTACAAGACTACCTGCAAAGCAGAGACAAAGAGTATAGAGAAGGTTTAGATTTTTAGTTTTAGAATTTGTAGGTTAACTTGAGAAATAGATCATATATGGTGCCCAGCTTAGCTAGTGTAAGCTTTGTTTGCTAGGCTTAGTAACTGAAGAGTACTGTAAGATAACTGAAATTGCATTATAATGTATCCTTGATATGATATTTGGCAATATTTTAGGATATTGTTAATGACTGTATTCTGGTCATATAAGCGTTTTATGTCAAATCATCCTTCATAAATCTGTTGTTTCCGAATTTTTTAGTTGCAATAATTTGCATCTCAAGATGGGCTAGATCCCTTCTAGAACTAGACTTGCATTTCTCAGGCCTTTCGAGACCTTTAAGTTTCTAAATTAGTTATGTTTGGTCAAAATGTTGGAGAGAAAAAGCCATAATAGGTTTGACGGGCTGCTCATTGTCTGGGAATGTTGTTTGGACGTTGAGATTTTGAGAGTAGCCTCTCCATCGTCCTTGATGTTTCTATTGTTGCATTCTGGCGATTGAAAATCCCTTCGTTATTGTATGTTAATTTCTGTGGGAGATGTTAATAACCGTTTCAGGTTGCATTTTATCTTCTGGTGTAAACCTTGAAGTGGCCACAGGAATTTGCCTCTTGTATCTAAGCTGCGATTGTTAAGAATAGAATACTAGCACAGTACTGTGGAAACATATTTATGATGTAAAATTTTCCTACCATTGACCATTTGCATTGGGCAGAGTAGGAACCTAATTTTTTAATCGCTGGTTCTAATAGTCAAAATTTGCGGGAAATGAATTGAGGGATAGAATTAACTGGGAAAATGTACTTCACAATTATCCAAAACAGGAATCACTGACCATTCAGAAACAAGATCTAGCTTCCCCAAACTAGACATTACAATCAAGAAATTTTAACTGCTCTAGGCTGATACCTAAATAGAACCACCTTATTTTAGGCAACATGACAAAGTTCTACAATAGCATAAAACATCTAATATGATAGAAAATGGGTGTCATTTCTTCACTTGTACAACTCCTTGAATCTTCTACATGCTTCCAACACATTGGCCCTGTGACCAAAGGCACTAACCCTCACAAAACCTTCACCGCCAGGTCCAAAACCACTGCCAGGGGTTGTAACAACATGAGTCTTCGCAAGAATTTCACTGAAAACATCCCATGAGTTCTGGCCAGGAAAGTGAACCCACACATATGGTGCATTTTCCCCCCCATAAACATTAAAACCAAGTGAAGTGAAAGTTTCGACAATGATTTTGGTATTTTCTTTATAGAAACCAACCACTTCCTGCATAGCCTGTATGGTGTCAAAATTTATTGATCAGTTGAAGTCAGCTCCTACTCCCAGAATTATATTCAAAAGTAAATTTTGATAAACATAACAAGGTGAAATTTACCTGGAGGCCTTCTGGTGAAAGACACGCCAGACCTCCAGCTTGGGCAATGTTAGATGCACCATTGAAGCAAGTACAAACAATGCGATTGAAGTCCTTGGCCACTGGAAACCCATCCGAAAAGTGAAGCTCCTTGGGAATCACTGTCCAACCTAAACGGACTCCTGTAAATCCAGCGTATTTGGAAAATGATGAAACCTCAATAGCAACCTGCAAACAAATTAAGAACAAGTGTAATAGGGTGAAAGTATATGCCCAAAATATTTGGGAGTACTCACTACTTGGGTCTTATTATATGTGCCACATATTTTCAGTAGAAGTACTATAAACAGACGTTTCACTCTCTGAGCTTAAGATCCCCCCCCCCCCCTTTCTGGTCCTCTCTAACAAGATTTGTACTTTCGTGCCCCCACTTGTTACTAGTAAAAGTCCTTGCCTTCTCTAAGTACCATATCAAGTGGCAACCCTTTTGCCAACAAACATGGCTTCAGGATATCAAGAACAAGAGCATAAATCTGTCCATTTGTGCGACTAAGGTAAGAAATAAAATTTTCTAACTAGCTTTCTCATATGACCAAATAAACAGGATATCCTCCTAAAACAAAAGTCCTCCCAATAAAACATGAGAAATAAAGTATAATGCAAGCAAAACAAGGGGAAAAACAACACAAAGAACACCACAAAAAAAATTGGTCATATTTGAGGAAGAGATAATGACAATCTAGCAGCACTCTCAACAGAGGCTAAAATAGAGATAAATTTGCAGGAATTATATGCCCAACCAGGGTGTTGGAGAAAATAACATTTAGCAGTTTCAAACTCTTACCTCTTTTGCACCAGGAATTTCAAAGATGGACCTTGGTTTATCATCAGATATATACATTGCATACGCAGAATCATAGACTATAATCGAACCATTGTCCTTTGCAAACTGCACCAGTCGAGTCAGTTGATCCCTTGTTGCAGCAGCACCAGTTGGATTGTTAGGTGAACAAAAAAATATGACATCAGTTCGAGACACAGTAGATAAATCCGGAAAGAAACCATTCTCGGGAGTACACTTCATGTACTCAATTTTTCCATAACCAAATCCCTCTTGGTACAGCCTAGTCTGACCCATAATGACGCTAGAGTCTACATAAGCCTGCAATATGATAGAAAACTCTTGTATTATAAAATATTAGCTAGAAGAAACAAAAAGTCCACAAGGTAAAAATTGCAAGCCATCATGTCAAACACTTACTCTACTTTTTCCATTTGAACTCTTCTTCATTATTAGATTTTGGAGTGGAAGTTGGAAGACTTGGTTCATGAAGAAAAAACTTATAAGATTTTATGCATATACAGCCATTTCATTCAAATATAACATGCATGTAGATGGTCACACTGTATAACATGGAAGCCTCAAAAGTAGTTCTCTGTTCTCCTTTTGTTTCCTTCTTCAAAATTAAATAAATTTAATTTGTTCAGAGTGTATTGTTATGAACAAGTCTTGGTTTTTCCAAGTTGATTTTCAGAACTCAACATCAAAAAAGTAGGCAGTGTCAATAACCTCTTGAACAAGCAACCAATTATATATTTGATGGCAAGATGGTGAATATGAACACTGGAAGCTAGTGGGTTCAAGTGGTCAATGGGATTCCAATTAGATGAACCCGCTATCAGAGGTGGACATATTTTCATTGTTCAGACTACATGTTTGAAGATAGTGTTAAAGTTTAGCTTGAACTAAAAGTCACAAGAATTTCTCAACAAATTATACACATGATAACAGGGAAACCAGGGCAGAAGGGAACAAAGGAATCAAAGGTTCGTGTTGAGGATTTAAAGGTGGCAACAGCACTAAAATATTCAGGTGCTGCATGATTACAGATTATAAATTTGAGCTAGAGCCCAGACTGCGGGTAGTACTTTGGCTAGTGAACTCGCAATTGCACTTAATTAATCAGGCTGCAATAAACCAATATAAACCAAATATAGGAGAGAATGGATTCTAAGATGACATGCTAAGTGAAGGAGAAAACATGGACTAGTTACCGGGTATGAAGGGTCTTGCACTGCCATAGTAACACCAGAGCCAAAAAGAACCTGCTCCAGAAGAATCAAAGGAATGTCAAGCTTAGCACTGATTAGTAGAAGCACTGACCACAAAGTTTATAATCCTTCCTTTTCCTTTTTTATAGAGTAGGGAAGATTCCGTAAAATACAGATATAGAGTATAGAGATCTGAATAAAATCAGATAAATAAATAATGCAGAACAAAACTTAAAATTCTGCATTTGTAACAAGCATATAAGAAACCAAAGCAAACCTGGAGGCGTGATATATCACTTTTTGCACCATCCGAAACAAATATATCATCTTCCTCTATTCCAACATTTGAATAATAAGTGGAAGCAATTTTAGCTCTCAGTAACTGCGCAGATAAACAAAGAAAGGATTGATATAAATTGAAACACAAAGCAAGGAGTCACAATTGCTTTGTTAAGCATATATGGATGTGTGTGTGTGTGTGTGTACAGACACTGGCAAACATATAGTAGAAAGTATTATCATAACAAGTCAAAGTAGAATATTTCAATCAAGATGATGTAAGTTGGATTGGACAGTAAGACGCCAATATACACTTTGTTCATTAGCACAACTTTATTTCTTTTCTTCCTTTTTCTTTTAGAGAGAGAGAGAGAGAGAGATCGAGTACAGTCCAGCTGAGCAACGCATTGCCATCTGAAATCCATCAACATATTCAATGCTGTAAGTTTCCAAGGCCCTTAAGGCTCAAACCATCATTGAGCACAAAAATGAAAGTATGAATGCATGCACCTGCACTGTAGTTATTCTTCCAGAAATCAACACAAAAATCAACACCAGATCACATTATGCTTCAGAGTCAGAACATACGACCTTGGCATACACATGGTAACTTGTGCATCAAAAGATGCAGAAAATTAAAGTGTGGTTATGTTCAAATATGAGAGAAAAACAGAGAGCACAAATGGCAATAAGAGCCAGAATGCCATGTAAAAATTTGAACATACACGTGGAACTGTGTCATTAGAAACACCTCGGTTGGAACAAAATAAAAAAGTGCAAATAGTCAACAGAGAACAAAAGTGCCACATACTTTTTCACCTTGTTCAGCTCCATAGCCACTGTACCCTTCTACCGTAGATAGTGCATGTGCTCTCTGCCAATAAGAGGAAATAAAATAAAATAAAACATTAAAAATGTAAGAAGCAGGTACACATTAACAGTCACTTGACAGGTGCTTCATTCTAATATTTTATCACAGATCAGAGACATTTCAGCTTGAACATCTATATGCATATATAGTATGGCACACAATGTTAGTGACCTCCTTAAATAAACTTGTTTGACAAAAGCTCCACCCCCCCTCCAGCTATAGATATATATGTATATTTATATTTATATATAAAATCATTTATTTGTTTCATGGTACATTTTATGGATAGGAGGTAATTCATATTTCATGCAACTCTCTCCAGAATATAGCACTTAATGATACCATTGCAGCTAAACAAAATCAGCTCAAGCATTCTCCAACAAACTGTCCAGGAAAACAATTTCAGGACAGTTTTGGATTTCCTTAGAGAAGTGAAAAAACCAGAGGTTATAATAGAATTCAAAAAAGGCAGTAAGATTTATTTGGGAGGGTCAGCAATTAGATGTAATTTGAAGGGGCTCAAAACGAATGATACACCTGCCTAAGAGGAAAAGAAGAGACGAGAGGCAATGTTAGCCAAAGAAAAGAAACAAAGGTGGAAATCCCTTTTGTTTGGAAGATTTGATAGGAATTCATGTACAGTGTCAAATTTAACCAAATTAAGATTTAGCATGTTTTGGAAGGATAGGCAATTGAAAGGTAGCTTAGAAAAATGATCTTCAAAAGCAGTATAAAGGGCCTGAATGCTTTACAGCTAAAACATAGTTCCTTAGCATTAGGGCAGGCACCAAAAGAGAGTGGCTCAACCTTTTTAGGAAACCCGCCTCAAAAGCCAAAACTAGTGAACATCATGTTCTGCCTCTAGCAACATTGGAACATTTTAGTATTTTCAAATGAATATGTTTGTTCCCAAACAAAAAATGACTTTTAGAATAGTAAAAAAATAATATAAGCCCGTAAATAATATAACAAATAAAAAAGCCTTCATATATTTTGAAAAGGGTTTGAAGAATGCTAATACTCACTTAGCCATGTGATATACGTCCGACTACCAGCCTACGTTACAAGACTCCTCCAAAAAACTCTTTGTGAGAAAAATTGACATTTGCAACAGTCTAAAATCAAAAAATTAGTATAAAGATGAAAACTGCTGACACTGATGCTGGAAGAGTCATTGCATCTCAACTTAACAATAATATTGAACAGGAACCGTAACATTTCCCATGCACAAAACATAAATAATAGCAAGAAGAAGAAATAACAATAGCAACATTGTCAACTCCAATCAAATAACAACTCTATGTAATTCCTCATAAGCCATACTCATTTACAGAAGTTGGCAAAACTCAAAACAGTTGTTCTGAAATTACCACAGTTTCTATTTTATTTTTATTTTCATCAAGCAAAATCTCATACCTTTGCCATGGCAGAAGTTATAACTTCAGGAATGGGCTCAGTAGTGTCCCCAACTCCAAGGCTTATGACTTGCGCATCAGGGTACTTCAACATGTGTGCAGCCCTCCTTCTAGCTATCTACAAAAGAAAATCCTTGATTTATTCTCCCATGCCAGCAGGGAAGTGACAAAACAATAGTACTGACACATCAGCTTAACGCAATCAATTGGACAAATATAATGGACTCCAGAAAAGAGAACAATAGACAAATAATATGATGCTAAACTAAGGGAACCAGAAGATTTTGGCAATGTAAAATATAGAAAGGGTTACAGCCTAGAAATATTTTTATACATGATTAATTCGAAGAAAATAATAAGCAGCATCCTTTTAGCTGTTTAAGTATTAAAAGAAATTTCTAAATACAAACCCAAAATTGTAACATTGTAACAATATGTAAGTCTATTCCCTAGCACACAATATCATGGAGCAAGCAACATGCCTCTTTTCCAGTTCCATTCCAAGTACCAGTATGATTCTTGTTTCAAATGATATGATGCATGTGTTCACGGTATGAAGAATAAAATATTGCCTACATGCATAAGAGCACGCTGGAACTCGACTAAGCATTTTTCCAAATATACCAGGTCAACTACGAGACAATAGAGAGAAGTTAATAATTACACAAGCAGGTTTATGGAACACACCTCTGGAAACAGGTAACCAGCTTGAAGCTTGCCCATGTTTGCATTGCGGGAGACCTTTGTCTTGTGAGCTTCACAAATTACAAGAAGAATTATTAGCAATATTGACTATCTAGATGGACAGCTTTTCTTCAGTTATCTCTCAACCGTCAATTGAAATAGCAACTTCACTCTGTTAATATCTTTGTATACCAACTCATAACCATAACAACAAGCGCACTCACAGCTGCATGCATCAGAAATCATCAGCTTAAGCACAAAATCTCTAAAAACGCATTCAATGGTAAAAAACTCAGACCCCACTACGCCTCCATCCCAACCCCAATAATGCGTAAATCATGTAAGAATCAATACGTCAAACCCAAATGCAAACATACATGCAAAATTCAAAATTTTTAATGATGAATGATCATAAAGAGGCAGAATTCTACCAGTCTTCTCAGAAGGCGCTGCAACGCATTTACAAAACCCACTGTTTTTAGCGGGAAGCATGACATGGTACGATCTGCAGTCGCAAATCAATCATATATTGATGAAAGCTAGCCAATTCTTTACAAAGCTAGGGCTATTTGGGGAATAAAATATTTTGGGACATGAACCAGTTGTTCCTCTGTAGAGAAATGTTGAAACAGAAGACGATACCTCATCTTGAAATGGTGGTCCTGGCCCAAGAAAGCTGAGGATGATGAGGAAATCGAGGTCGACAACTGATTGATCAACGACATTTTCGCAAGAACTCTATCGGCTTAGACAGTGAGAGAGAGAAGTGGGCTTTTTTGAGGCTTTGCACCTCGCAGGAGACTACTTAATCAGCAGAGCCAATAGGATGGGAGAAAGAGAAAACTACTGCCGCGCGCAAAGAGCCGCCGGTTTGATCATTTTGGTTCGAAAACCCTAGCTTAACTCTATGGCGCCAGAATCGGAGTCGGGTCGAACTTGACAATCCGTTTCAGCCGGACATCGGTTGGACGAAATGCCCAAGCTACCAATTTTGCCCTCGTTCTTTCGACGAAAAACCCGTTTCAGCCGTGTCACTTGCCTTTACTAAGCGGCTTCCCTCCTCTTCGCGGCTCTGCGGAGAGTGTTTAATAAATCGGAGTAAATTAAATTAAATTATATAAAATTAAATTAAATTGTATAATATAATATAATTTAAATTTAATATTTAGTTAAAGTATATAAATTAAATTAAATTATATAATTTTTATGTATATAAAATTAAAAATTTTATTTTTATATGTATAATATATTTTTATTATTTAAATATATATTTCTTTTTTTTAATTATTTTTTATATTTATATTAATTCTAATAATTGATTTTTTTTAAATATAATTTTTAATAATAATAGTAAAATTTTGTAAAATAATATAAATTTATTTATTATAAAATATATAATTATTATAATTAATTAATTAATAATAAATTTATTAAATTAAATAAATTAAAAAAATAAATGATTAATTTTTAAAAAAATTTTATTAAAATTTTTATAAAAATAATAAATTTATTTTATTTTATTTTATAAATTATAAATCATAATTTAAAATTAAAATAAATCATAAATTATAATTTAATTTAATTTATAAAAATTTCAAACAATAAAACATGATTTAATTTGAATTAAAATATCACATTATAATTTAATTTATTATAAAAATTTCAAACAATAAAACATGATTTAATTTGAATTAAAATATCACACCAAACCAGGAACCCGCCTCAATCTCCGACTTCTCACGAGCACGGTTCCAGTTGCCTTCAGCAGGACTCTCCGCACCACAGTGCGATATATGGTGATTCAGAAGGAAGACGAGGAAGATCAAGAATTGGCTACTTGAGCCAAATGATGCCATTTTTGCCACTGGAGGAGTTGGCATGGGCGGCTTGGGGTTGAGGAAGACCAAAATAGCTCAATGATCTTCAATCAGTAAAAAGTAGAGCATTGGCTCGGGCGGAAAAGTTGGGTATTTGTTTCTCAGACATCCACTGAAGAATGAATTAGTAGCAGCATTAAGGAGCCTCGGAGATGCATGTTTTAGGATGATCAAAACATAACATTTAAAAAGAACATAAAGCAGCAATTTGGGGCTCAGATAACAAATGGTGATTCATAATCTAGGAAGGATTGCCTAAAGGGAATGGAAGCATTGTCATTGTGACAACAAGAGATGGGAGTTTTGCCGAAGTATGGGAATCCCTGAAGCAAGAACTCACTGGCCTAAATTTGATAGCAATTGGTTACGGTTTTAGAGGATATCTTCATTGCCGCTGGAGGTTTGATACTCTGTAAGCTGCATTGGTACTATGAATGGCAGAGAGCTATAGATCATTTTGGAGATGAATTAGTAGAAAATGACTATTCTGTTGGCTTGTTCTCTCAGATGACAATTCTTTCACCCAATTCGCAGACCAATACTCCAAAGCTTCAGATGATAGTCTATGGTTCCTCAGTGGACGAAATTCTGTCCTACTCACCAATGGGTCAAATGCGATTTATCTATTACACAATTCTCTAGATAGAGTCGAGAGCAAAGAAAATAAGACTTCGGGTGACATGGGATGAGACTAAAAATGATTGTTGGGAACTCATCGTACTTCAGAATCACTACTTACTCAACTTAAATAAAGTTTCAAAGGTACTTGGCGGGTATCCCATTAAGCTTTAGGTTTTTCTACTTGTTTTAATTATGGATTTTAAATTTCAAAGAATTAGCTTATAAAATTTTTGTAGTTGGTTTATATTCGAAAGTAAAGTAAAATGAAAGAAATATTAGAAAAATATTTTCGATTTTCATATATCAAATTACACATGAAGTTCAACTGTCTTTATTATGATATGACATTCCTAATCCGCCAATTTTTTTTTTTTAGATTTTCCCTTCATTTTCTTTTGTCCATCCTCAAGAAATCTAAAATTCATAAAGAACAAGACAGTAGCATCCTGAACTCTTGATTTCTTCTTATGACGGTTCTTTTGAGGAAAGCCGTGTTCTAATTAAGAGGTTTCAGTGTAGACCATATGGATCAGTTCAGACTAGAATGTTAGCAGGAAGATAGCAGCAATGTCTTTGGTGAGGGGTCAACAGAATTCAAAATTCCATCTATCGTGCGTGAATATCCTGGGAGTTACAAATCTCTCCATCATCATCTGAACCAAGGTGAAACAGAGAATGGACCATTGATGTGGGCAAGAAGGCTAAAGATTGCAAATGACATTGCTAACTGGGTTGTCATGAGCACATTGCGTTTCCTAGACCCACCATCCACAGGAACCTAAACCATGGCACATAATTATAGACCAATTTGGTGACGCTAAACAGATTGATTTCTCATTCTCTATAGCACTGTCTCTTGGAAAGATTCAGGTGGAAGATGACGTAATGGGAGAGGGAGGAGGAACTAAGCAACAATAGTAATTGGAAGTCTTCTTTACACCCTTCTTAAGATGTGTTGAAATTTCCAGAGAGAAGGCTAGAGATGATTGATGTAGGACGGGAACTCAAGTGATTATACAGTTCTGTACTCGTCTATAATCCATTAAATAGTGATAGGCAACTTGCTGCTGACACCAACTAGACCATCCATCTGGTATTCACTATTGTTCTTAGGTTCATTTGTCATTATTTTAAATATTATATCATTTGTGGGATCTTAGTTGATTAGATTACAATCTTTGTGATTCAGGTCATTGCAAACAAAGGTGGATCAGCTCACCATTTTCCAGCTTGTATCTTAAAACTTTTGTGCTTCCATGTACTCATAGTTCTCTGTTTCTTGTTTGTTCCCTTCTGCCATTTTCTTCCTGAAATCTTGTTTGATTTGTCCAGTGAATATCCAAATGAAGTCCTACTATACCTGTTTCTCTTCTGTCATGTTTAATCTAGACTACTAATTGTAGAATGTTGTCTTATTTAAGTCCTACAATTTCTCAAAGCAACGTCGCAACTTGGATCTGCATCTTGATGAGTAATACACCTATAAGAAAAGTAGCAAATATTAGAGGGAAACCTTCAAAGCATAAAGGCAATCCTTCTCATGCCAAATTGGCTGATATTGGATTTGAACCTGCGTCAGTCAAAATATTTTCCTCTGTTCTCCCCTTTTCATATTGGTACTGCATGGCACCTGTCAAACCAAAATACAAACTTTCAAGTCCTCACTGGAAATCATAATTCACAACATGGATAGAGGATAGAGATAGAAGCACAAAATATCACAAGTAAAATATGTATTTATTTTCTTATTTTTCAATTTGGGCAGTGAATCTATAACACGCACTGCACAAATTTATTGGTTACATGAATTTGTACTGCTTTATCTTGGTTCATTTCTGTATGATTAATCATTTCTTTAGAGTAGCTATGTAATTAATGGTCATTCTTAATGAACATGGCTTTTGACAAATAGGGGCCAAGTATGAGCAGAATTGATTAAAAGCAAGACCTATCTATAATTTGTTTCTTTTCTCCTCTTCAAATGTAGTTTAACCTTCAAATTTTCTTGGTCTTTTCCTTCCACTAAGGGGGCGTTCGGATGGGGAGATAGGATATAGAGGGATAAGATATAACAGGATGAAAGTTATTAGGGGATAAATTTTATCACATGTTTGGTTGAATAGATAATAAATAGAACAAAATTTTGGAAAAGTAGGATAAAAGTGAAATTTACCAAAATACTATTTTTTTATATAAATTAAAAAAAACAGATCTGGGTTTAGAAAAAAAAAACCCAGATCCGGTCCAAGAAAACAAACCACCAGACGGTTAAAAAAAAAAAAAAAGACAAATCCTATCCAATCGGATCGGATCGTCCTGTGTCTTCCGGATTGGGTCGTCGTCTTTGCAGACAATCGGATCGTCGTCCTCCCTCGTCTAGTCATCGTCACAGATCAGCAGAGGTCGGCAGACAGCTTCGACAGCACTCGTGGCCCGATCCGATCCAGCAAAAGTCGGCAGAGAGCTTCGACGATGCTTGTGGCCCGATTCGATCGCGCCTGACAAAGGTCTAGAACGCTGTCGTTTGCCGATGCGGGCGAGTCGTCCGAGCCTGTGAGTCGTCTGATGATCCAGCGAGGTCGATCGGCCCTAACAAAGCTCCAAACGTTGCCTTCCAGACTCGAGCTTGATAGAGCTCCGGACGATGCCGACGAGGTCGAACATGCCCCTTCCAGACGTCATCTCCTTCCAGCCAATCGGCCTCCTCTACCCCGACTGCCTCTGGTTTCAATCGGGGGCATTATCGTCCGTGGACGAGATGTATCAGGGGAGATAAAATTTATCCCCCCAAAACCAAGAGATAAAATTATCCCCCAACTTCCGATACATATCTTATCCGGATCCGTTACACGCGAACCGAACGCGTGTAACGGCAGATAAAATTTCTCTTCTCAGCCTATATCAACGAACCGAATGCCCCCTGAGATGAAAAGAACAAGTGAAACATTTATATAATGAACCAACTTTTGTTTGTCTTTGGTGTCTTCGATATATGCATTGCACTGTTTACAATCAGGCAATGACAGCTATATTTTTATCACTTCTAAGATGATTAAACCAGCCATTTATTATAGGTATTATCCTTACAAGGAAAAATTTGTCTTTAAGAACTTCTAATTAATGAAAATGTAGAATTCTATTAAGTTAAGAACATATGAAATGTAAGTTAATGAATTTCTCCATTTTTGTCCGGAAACCATTAGCTTTACTTAGGAGACAACATAAGCAGAGCCGCGTATCATTTTTTATTTATTTATTTTTATGTTTTCTTCAGCAATATCAGGCCTTGAGGTGTTCAACTAATGTTCATGAATTCCAACTAAACCAAATCAATACTTTTATTTTGATTCAGCACTTCCCATAACAAGTCTCACACTTTTGGGAAGCTTTAGGTAGGTATATCTGGTTTTTTAGTGAGAAGTTGTGGGTTTCTTATATTTTCTTTTTCTCCTCTATGTGTTTGTAGGCCAGAGTGAATAAAATAGCATAGGGTAATATCCAAACACAATATTCTGCCTGTTTAGTGTTTTGAATTAATATACATTGTTCAATAAATTTTAACTCAATTTGAATAAAATACCAGAGAAACACATGAATTATCAAAATATTATTTCTGTTCTTAACAACTTAACTATGAACAGAGTCTTGGGTGAAACTTTCCAATGATCACCCAACTTTTCATAGAACAGTGGACGGCAACAAATAGTAGTGGCAGTAGGATGCCAACGGTGATGGTAGCTAGTAGTAGTGGACAATGGGTGGATAGTGGTCATGGGTAGCCATCACCAACAATTGGCAATGGTGGAGGGCATTAGGAGGTGAACGACAAAGGGCGGTCGTGGCAATGATGGATGGCAATAGAGGGTATATTTTAGTAATTAACATGTGAATAGTAAGGAAAATAGTGTTTAAAAGTAAATTTTAAAATACTGTATAATATTCGATAAAATTATCTCGTTCCTCCATTATAATTTATTTGAATGTAACTAGAAAAATGTTATACCTGAACTTTTATCCAACTTTATTATTTAACTTATTGAACGCGGGATAAGTTTAGCATACTTATCTTTATCCTACTTTTACGTAACTTACCTGTTCTACCAGGCAACGCCTATATATTCTCAATTTCTTGACCATTTGATGTCTTGTATGGAAAAAGGACCTTTTGGTTACCAAAGAAATGACAAGTTCTTGCCTCACACGGTGGAGAAGATGGGCTCTTCCAGGGCTCGGTATTGTGTTTGTTGTTGTCATATAATGCACTTGGAGCTTTATTTGTAAATAGGCTATATCCATCACGAATCTTTGTTACAATTGAATAACTTTTGATTCCAGGTTATAGCCCATCCTCTGCTTAGTACATCTTTGTTCATAATGCTTCTTGATTAAGCAATTGTGAATCAAATTGGCTGAACAAATCAATGTTACGTATGTTGAATAGATTCCGAGGGTGCAGACTGGAATTAATCAGGAGTAGTTCAAACCATCCATCTCTGGCTTGCTGGGAGAAGGTCTTTGGAAACTTCACATCTGCTTTTTTTTTTTTTTTTTTTTTTAAAAAAAAAGAAAAGGAAAAATGACCTGCTAGATTTGAAGCCTGTCAACAAATCAATCGCTTTCTGGAAAGAGTTGCCCTGCAGTTTCCATGAAAGAGATGCAAAGCAACTTTTTTTTTTTTTTTTTTTTGACTTTTTGATAGGGGAATAGACGAAATCCGTGTATTGGAAGCTTCGTTGTTTCTGTTTAGAAAATTTTCTTTCTTAATCTGTTTATTTTTATTATAAAATAAAAATACCAAAAGACATAGTTAAAACAGTCATGCGTGGAAGCCTGAAAACTCATAAGTTAGCAAGAGCTGCTATGAAACCCCAGAAATGGCTAATGATGAGAGAAAGCACCTGAAACTTCCCTCCTTCATTCCCAAGATTTCTATGCAGCTTGAAGCACAAGATAACAAGTTCATTTCATTTGCTCTTCAGTTAATTTCCAGAGCAATTGTATTTCAACCTTATTCATTTGATCTGATCTGATCTTCTATTTATTTTTTGTCCTATAAACTGTTATTTTCATTTTCTGACTAATTATAAATCTCATGTTGGCAGGAACAAAGAAGAGAGTTTGGATTTAATCTTGGCTTAATAATTCTCACTTCATGGCTTGTGTGAGAGAGAGCATATTCTACTTCTTGAATAGTAACAAGACAAGCAACGACTCTGATGCATTCCTGGAAAATGGAAGCTTATTACTAGAAGAGCTTATAACTTTTTCAAATGGCCGATATGACAATCCTATTCGCAGATTCTCCATGGAGGAGCTTTCTGAAGCAACAAACGGGTTTAACTCTAACCAAATCGTCACAGGTAACCCTTGTCCAAAATATACGAGGGCTCTCTCGAGGAGCGCCTGGTCCTAATCAAGAAGTATGACAAAATTAAGAGTAGGTGGGAATCCAGCATGGTGAAGTTCCATTCTATCCGTGACCTGGCAATACTTGCTCTAATGAGCAGCCACAAGAATGCTCTGAAGCTTCTAGGTTGCTGCCTAGACTTTGAGTTTCCAGCTCTGGTTTGCGAACACCCAGGAAGCACTAAAGTACTTTCCGATCAGTTGTATAGAAGAGGTATGGCATGTAAGGGATCATTAACATGGAAAAGTAGAGTGAAAATTGCTAATGAGATTGCCAATGGTCTCATTTACATGCATACCATGTTTCCAACCCCTATAATTCATAGAGTCATAAGTCCACGTTCAGTCATTCTGGACCAATTTGGAAATGCTAAATTGTTAGAGTTCTCGAATTCTATATCACTGCCTCCCGGGGAAACGCAGATGAGTTTGGATCATGTAATCGGGATATTTGGGCGTATAGATCCCGAATATTCTACAGGGGGGATTCTCACCGAGAAGGCAGATGTGTATGGCTTTGGAATGTTTATTCTTGATCTCTTGACTGGAAAGAGACCTTCAGAAATTGAGTGTGGAGATAATCAACTTTTAGGTGCTTGTGTGAAGGAATACTTGGAGGAGGAGAAGTTGAATGAGATTTTGGATCAAAGAATTGTGGAAGAGGGAGGGGGATTGGACAGCAAGTACAAGCTTTGACCAGACTTGCCTTGAGATGCATCCAATACAAGAAGGAAGATAGGCCGGAAATGATTGATGTGGGCAGAGAACTCAGGCGAATACAAAGATCAGCTTTAGATCAACCATACTCTGATAAGGGATGATGAAATCTTCTTTTGGGTATTTAATTTTTTTCTGAAACGGATCAGGAGTCTAATAGTTGTTTGGTACTTTTGATTCTTTTATGGTCCCTCTTGTATGGTTCAGTCGTGCATTATCTGTCATTTGTTTCTAAAATATTGTTGAATTTTCTCATGTATGCTTGAGTTCTGCTGCTCAACAAGTCCAAAAGAAAAAGAAAAGTAGAAATAAGAAAGGTACCTATCACTGTAGAAGGAAGGTGTTATTGCAGCTTGTCCGTTTCTAGGATCCCTTATTTTCTAGCATGATAAATTTGCCTTCGGTAGGGGCACAAATAATCCTCTAAATGAAGTGGCTGCTGCTGCTTATATTATTAAAATTAATTGGACAGTTGAGTAGTTGTTTCCATCTGGTTTGAGAAACGAATTCCATCATAATTAAACTTATTAGCGAAAAGTGGATCAGAGATTTCTTTGGCTATTCATCCTATCTTCTCTTACATGAGCAAAATCCTTTCGGCCAAACAGTGCCTTTTGGCCCACATGATGTGAAAATGGGTAAAAAGTCAACTCTAAGAAGAGACAAATTGCGGCCACGGTGATAAGGTTGACCAGAGAATTGCCCACTTGATGAAGGAAAACAAGGAGATAAAGGTGGAAGGGGAAAGAAGTTTCAGAGAAAGAATGCCCAAGTGGAAAGAAAGGCTACCTTTGTATGCCATTACGTAGAAATTTCTCCAGTTTTTTTTTTTTCTGCAGTTTCTTAACGTGAACAATTTGTAGAGTTCTGTTTGGATGTTTATACTTGAGCGTTACATCGCTGTTTGTAATGGCTGAGGCAGTGAATGACACTCTATTCGCACTTTGTCATAAACCTGAGTCCACTTCAATCAAGGATAGCCTGGCGTTTGAGCAGTTCCTACTTTCAACTTTTAACTCAACCGAAAGTGATGAAACTATAACAATCTAACATCACCACCTAACAGAACAATGCAAAGGTTGCAAACGGAGTCACCATCATGAATCTTCATAATGATCATCTGTCTCATCATAGATCTCCTCCTATAAGATGTTAGAACCAAAGTTAGGATGATGAACCATTGGGCAAAAAAAAAAGGCAGCAGAACGTTAAAAACAAATAATTTGGTTCTATATTCACCTGCAAAAGCTCTTCAATGACATCTTCCAACTTTATTATGCAATGGCTTCTTCTTCAGGAAGCCTTCGAAGTAGGTTCTCATTTATCTGTAGGATGTCTGAATGCATGTCCTTCGCCCACTTTTTGCTCCTGGAAATGCCCGTATAAGAATTGTTTCCACCAATGGGAGAGCTCTTTCCACCTTTGGAGTGATCTTTTGGTCTTTAAAGCCCTGTCTTCAGGAGTTTTTCCGCCATCAATCTCTACTTTTACATCCTTTGTTGAATCTTACGTTGAAAGAGGAGGGGAAGCGAGCAAGGGGCATTAAAGAGTTAATAATTAACCTATTGTTCTTAGGTTCATTCGTCATTATTTTAAATATTATATCATTCGTGGGATCTTAGTTGATTAGATTACAATCTTAGTGATTCAGGTCATTGCAAACAAAGGGGATCAGCTCACCATTTTCCAGCTTGGATCTTTAAAACTTTTGTGCTTCCATATACTCACAGCTCTCTGTTCTTATGTGTTCCCTTCTGCCATTTTCTTCCAGAAATCTTGTTTGGTTTGTCCTGTGAATATCCAAATGAAGTCCTGCTATTCCTGTTTCTCTTCTGTCATGTTTATTCTAGACTATTAATTGTAGAATGTTATCCTATTTAAGTCCTACAAATTCTCAAAGCAACTTCCGTCGTGCAGCTTGGATCTGCATCTTGATGAGTAATACCTATAAGATAAGTAGCAAATATTAGAGGGAAACCTTCAAAGCATAAAGGCAACATTCTCATGCTAAAATTGGCTGATATTGGATTTGAACCTGCGTCAGTCAAAATTTTCTTCCCTTCCTCTGTTCTCCCCTTTTACTGCATTCCACCTGTCAAACCAAAATGCAAACTTTCAAGTCCTCGGTGGAAATCATAATTCACAACATTGATAGAGGATAGAGATAGAAGCATAAACATCACAAGTAAAAATGCATTTATTTTCTTAGTTTTTCAATTTGGGCAGTGAATTATAACACGCACTGCACAAATTTATTGGTTACATGAATTTGTACTGCTTTAACGTGGTTCATTTCTGTATAATTAGTCATTTCTTTAGAGCAGCTATGTAATTAGTAGTTATTCTTAATGAACATGGCTTTTGACAAATAGGGGCCAGGTATTAGCAGAATTGGTAAAAACAAGACCTATCTATAATTTGTTTCTTTCTACTCTTCGAGTGTAGCTAACCTTTAAATTTTCTTGGTCTTTCTTCCACTAAGATGACAGGGACAGGTGAAACATCTCTATAATGAACCAATTTTCATCTCTCTTTGATGTCTTTGTTGCATTTGCATTGCACTGTTTACAATTCAGGCAATTACAGCTATATTTTTATCCTTCTAAGATTATAAGCCAGCCATTTGTTATAGGTATTATCTTTAAGAACTTCTAATTAATGATATGTAGAAGTCCATTAAGTTAAGAACTTATAAAATATAAGTTACTGAAATTTGTCCATTTTTGTCTGGAA